CCAAATTTCTAGCCTATCATACAACTCATCATATCTTTTTGAACTTATGACAAAAATATTAATTATAGCAATTTTTTTTTTATTCTTTTTGTTCATTTTTGTGTTCGTTGTACTGTTTTTTCTTTAAAACTAGTTATTAAAAAAAATCAGTTAAAAATCATATACGTTTTTGAAAAAATCCAGGTAATTATATTTATTGTTACGTAATTATAATATTTGGTGGAAAATTCCCTTTTTTTTTTTAATTAAACCACATACACAGCGTTTAAAGATATACATTTTTTTATGAAATATTGAATTTAGCTTAAATGTTATTTCAACTAATTAACTGAAAAAAGCTAAGTTATTTAAATGGAAGATTAAATTAGTTAAGTTAAACAATTTATTAGTAAAATAATTAACTAGTTAAGTTGAAAAGTTAAAAAAAATATAACTTTATAATTAACTTTAACTTTTTAAAGACTTAATGTCCAAAATTGATTATAACAAAATAATATTTAAAATATTGAAACAAACATCATCTTAATTGAAAAAATAAAGTTATCGTTTTCTTATTATTATCCGCATTGAATTTGTTTAAAATTGAAATAAAGTAAAAGTATAATTATTTAAAGTATTTAATACTTTGAGGTCATTGTGAAATTTTCTAAATGTCTGAAATTGGAGTGATACTTCCTCAAGATGACGCGAGGGATTGGGAAATGGTTTGCATCAGTTAAACGACCCGAGAGGGAAATTTCACGGTCCAATGAATTCAGCCACTATGCTCTTCTTCTAAGATATACTTAATTTAAAGATAACAGTGATCAATAAATTGAAACAAAAAAACAAAGAGGAAAAAACAACAGACTGTTATTTAGCAAATGCAAAAAGCTATTTTGTTTAGTTGGATAACTGGATATTAAATTTATACTCAAAATGGCAGCTGTGTCAAGGATCGAACTACTCGTAGTCCTTTATTATTTTGTATTTGATATCAGTAAATATATTTTTGTTTTAAGATAAAATGTAGTATATTGACTAACAGAAATTATATAATATGGTTATGCATTAATTTTGTATAATTAATTATCATTATCTAATTCTTTATGTATTTCAGTCTAACTTCTTTTAAAATTGTTGTAAATATTATATCTTCCATTATTAATAATTAACTATTAATCCCCTATATTATTGAAAACAAAATTATTCATAATGTTTATAGGTATAAATATGCAGTAATGCATTATTATTATTTTTTATAAAGACATATAATATAAAAATTAGAAATGTATTAATTCTGTGAATAAGTACATTAAATTTGTATAAATAAACTATCATTTAAAATTACCGCAGATTCTTTTAGAGCTCGTTAAGTTTTTAATAATAATGACAAGTCAGAGTCTTATAATATAAAATTAGTTTGTATAGGAAATTATTATTCCGGAAAGAGCAGTTATATAGTCAAAATCGGCGAACGCTGTTAGTGGTTGTTTGTAAATATGTGGTATTCAACCGGAACTTTTGACCACAATAAGTGCCCTATTTAATATACGTTACTGTTTGCATGGACTGAACTGCACAGGAAACAGCAGAATCGGTGGTAATGTCACCAAAATCATAAGTACATTCTTTCGTGTGAAATCGTATGGCACGCACATTAACATTATATATACATTCTGATAGACATTTCTTGGCCTGATTTGATCTGTAATTAACTTAATGCATATTGGTATACATCTTTAAATATTCAAACACTGGCCAAACAATGAAAGTGCAGGAGTGAGATGTGTCAAGAGTAGTAAGTGTACTGGCAGTTTACGATAAAGCACATTGTATATGTTTCGTTCCGTTTCACCGACACTATCTGAACATGAAGATTAATAAAATATTATCATTATCTAATAATGGCTTCTTTTAGGACTCTGTTGTCATATAAAATAATTGATCTAATTACATTCAATAGAAGATTAGAATTATAATAAATTAATAATCATAATTGTGTCAATACTAAAATGCAAAAATCCTGACGAATTAAATTCATAATAAATTTCATTATTATGCTGTTTAAAAGTATGTTGTTAAATATGTTTTCGAATGTATTTTCCATTGAAAATTATTTCAAGTGATAGATAAAAAAAATTCCAACGTTTTAACTAAGTAAAATTATTTTAAATTTTTATAAAAATTTTTTTTTTATTTTATTATTATACTAAATTTTCTATTAACCATAATAACTAAAAATTAAATGTTATTTGCATAGAAATGCAAATAACATTGAGAAGCCATAGAGGTATTTTTTAGAGAATTTTTAATATTTATGTTATTACGCCAATATCAATCAAGTAAAATATTATTTATCCTTTATAAATGTTCAATAAATATTTATTACTTTGAGTTTGATTAAATGTTCTAAAAGAAATTATTTATTTATATTTTTTTTGTTACACCGCGAGTAGCAAGATTTTGTGTTGCTATATATTTTTATTTTTTTGGTTTCATATTTATTAAATTTATATTATTGAACAATGTTTTTTGTGTGATTAATTTACACCAAAAGTTATTTAATTTCACTTGTGTAATATTGCACTATAGTCTTGTGATTTATGCTAGGCAAATCTTCTTGTGTAACTAAGTTTATTAAGAGATTTTTAAAATTTATTGTAAGACGGTGAGTTATACTTAAAATCGCCATCTGCTTCCCAAAAGCTTTTCCTCAACTACGAAAGTTATGGTGTTGTTAGGGTTTCGAATTTAACATCAAACTGTCTCTTAACGTAATTTAGACGGGAATTAAGCTGACGTGTATAATCAATTTTGGTATTAGGTGTTAAGCTAAAGGTCAAAATTAAAAATATTAACAATTTTTGATTCTTAATATTTAATGAAATTTATTTAGAAGCAATTTAAGTAGTATCAACATAATGATTTGAAAACATTATTTTGTAATAAAATTTATAATAATTATTTATAATGTAAATTTCTCAAAACAAATTATGTTTAAAAAAATTATTATAAAAGGATAATTAAAATTTACTTTTATTAAAAAATTTAAATGATATAGGAATAATTATAATTTATTTTTAATAGTAAAACTGATGTTATATTCTTCACCAAGTAAATTAGAATTTTTTAGACACACTGACAAAGTTTTAACGCATTAGTTACATTTATTACTCAGTCTTTTTAAAATTTATAAAAGTCAAAAATGTTAACCAACTTTAAGTTTATATTTTATGTGAACTTAGATTGTCAAAACGAGTATTTAGTTAACCAATACAACAGTAATAACGACTTCCCTGAAACATTACTTTAACGATAATGATGGTAAACTTCAATATGCACTTTATAAAAATTGCACATTCAAAAGTTAATTTAACTTATAAAACTTATATGCACGCATTGAAAAAAACACTTTTTTTTGTCATAGTTATATAGAAGTAGAAAAGAATAACAAGTTACTTTTATTATTACTTTTATTTAAATAATTCAAAATAATAGACAATTACTATCAAATAAATATATTTTTATGTGTAAATCTTTATAATATAAATAATAATGATAATAAAATTAATATATCTAATCTTTAAATATGAATATTATGTACATATATATATATAACGCTTAAAAATTAAAAAATAATCACTGAATTATTAATAAAAAAGTGAAAACATCAATAGGATAAGTCAGAAATTGACGAGAAATACTTTAAGTGAAGATGTTTATACATATGGCTATTAGGTTCATAAATAAACTTTTCCAATAATTTGATTCTTATATATCTCAAATAAATATATGTATTTACAGAGAATAGAATGATTTAATTTGATTTTTATTAAAATGCCTTTCAAAACAATTATTTCAAATTTCTGTTAAGCTCTTTTGTCAGCTATTGAATGTTTTCTTTAGAATTCAGTTGTAAAATGGAAGTTTCATCATTTTCTTATACGGAAAAATATTGAAATAAACTACACTCAAATTATAGCAAACTAAATACACCTAACTCACGATCTTAAATTATTTCTACGCGTATTATTATTGTATAAAGCTTATTTTATAACAATTTTAATAACTTACTAATAAATTCAATTAGATATTGATTTAATAATAGATAAAATGTATTAAATTCTAATTAAAACTATTAATTTGAAAGATTCATTGAAATTATCAAAAAAAGAAAGTAATTAAATGTTTGATATTTTTAATACAAGCATCTATAATTTATGACATATAAAATTTAATCTATGTGAAAATGATAAATACCAAAATATCATAATAAAATAGTTTCTCAAATATTTTTCTTAGATATGTTTATCTATAAATTAGAATTTTTTTCAAAAGCTTTAATTTCTTAACTGCAGTAATAAAAGTTATGTTGGTCAATATTTTGTGTAAGTCTTTCACTTAAATATATAAACAAACACATAGACTAAAGGAAATTACATTTGACACAATTTATAAAGATTTCAAAGAAAAATAGTATTAAACATTAATATGTTGGACGGAATAATCTCCTAGTATTCATCTTAGAATTTAATTTAAAAATAATTAAAATCATTTTCATCTCAGCTTTAGTACTGAAGTATTGCTTGTTGTTTTTGGGTTAAATTTCAGTCTCAATTTTGGGGTTTGAATTAAATGTAATTCAAATAATGCCATGTAAAATTATATAATAAATATTTGACCCTTTGATCTATTTACAATTATTTCATTTTAATTATCGATAAAATTCTATTTTATCTGTATCCAATCAAAAGATTTAAATTTCTTGATAATAAAAAAATAAAGTAATGTAAACCAAGAAATTATTTTAAAAATTGTTGTAATAAAATAATAGGCCAAAACTACACAAATAACATATTAATTATAAAATATTATCATTAAGAATCATTATCATAATACCTAATATTGTTTTATTCAAATAAAATCAAACTTAATTTAATGACCTTTTAATATCATAATATTTCGAATGGGAAATGGTAATGATGTTTTCTAGATTAGATATATAACCTTAGACTTTATTATGTCTCTTCATCATTAAATTTCAAATGAGCCGGTTGTATTGATACCGTGTTTGCATTAGTTAATATTATTAATTAATTAGCTTACATTTCATAAATAATGATCTCAGCTCTTTCTGTGGTCCAGAAAACGTTACCAGAAATAGTAGAAGCTGGGTCGTTCGGTCCATGTCGCAAGTACGAATCATTTTTAACGGACAATAAAAATACTGGACAAGACCAATATGCTACCACCGTTGTTTTTGGTAAACTTGTGTTATCTGATGGAGAGAAGTATCAACTGGTTATCAAATTCAAGCATCCTTATGCAATATTGAGGGAGTGCCTTCACAGTGATAATCAATTTCATAATGAAATCACTATGTACAAGCAGATAATTCCTTTTTTTAATTCCATGTCTATTACTAACTCACAAATTGAAAATCCTTTGTTCGCTCGCTTTTTTTATGGTAATAATGTTGGCGGTGAAAATTTTGAAAAGGATATGATTGTTTTGGAAAATGTCAGTACACTAGGTTATAAATTATCTGAACAGAGATTAATGTTAGACTATGAACACATTGAAATTGCTTTAAAGTCAATGGCAAAGTAAGTAAATTATTTTTAGTATTATTATCATATATTTATTGAAAAAGTATTTATAATTGAATAAGTTGTACAAGTACATTGATAATTAAATGTTTAGATTATAACAATGTCATGCAGTGGCGTAGCCAAGGGAAGGGCTAATGGGGTTATAGCCTCCCCCCATAAGCTGTATTTTTCTTATTCTTTTGAAATATTTAAATTTAAATGTGAAAATTGTGTAAGAAATTTTGTATATTTGAAATAGTAAATACGTTAACGGTAAATCAACGTTAATATGCTATCAATATTTACTATCACATATCAATAAATATTTCAATTTACACATATACTATCGTCTTCTACACTGTATAAAATTTAGCCCCCACCATGCGAAAATCCTGGCTACGCCTCTGATGTCATGTATATGATCTTCATATGGACACATTGAGAGGTTTATGTATGTTATTTAGTAATTTTTACAAAAAATGACAAAAACCTAAAATAAGACCAAACCGCTTAATAAAGGTAAACAACTTTTTAATTTAATTTTCATATTGACTTTACATTCAACTCATCAAATATAATTTTATAAAATAGTAAAGAAAATACGAAAACGTAAATATATAAAAACAAATAAATACAATTTGAATATTAAAAATTTTCCTAATTTTAAGTAAAATTTTCATTTATTAGTTAACTTGAAAATTCTTTATACTGTTTTGTGGAATCATTATATGATGATTTAGATAAAAATAACTAAATAACAACTTTTATCATTTTCATTTTATTTATTTATCATTTTGTAGCCAAGTTAATGTACACGCACAACCGATTGTATTATTGAAATGTTCTTTATAGATTAAACGAGTAAAACAATTTTATTAATATACGTATTGTCAATATAAATGTTATGTATTTAATTTAATTTTATCAGTTATTTGAATTAGTACTGTATCATCAATTAAATAGTGTTAAATGTTTAAATAGTTTTATATTGTATGTTTATTTTTGAATAAACACTGAATAAATACCTTTTTAATACTTTCAGTTAAGTAAAATCAAGAAATGATAAGAAAAAGAAAATAATATTTAAATAGTTGTATTAAAATAAATGATCTCAAAAATAGGATATTTATAATAAATTTTTGCTTCACCTCAGAAATTAAAACCTCTGTCTATAAACTGCCCATATACGTACCATTGTTATTAAAAAAAAACGTGCAATAAAATGTTAAACTTTTCACTTTTTATATATTCTAAATTCTATTTCTTTAAATGAAATTAAATTGTGTTTTTAATCTTATTCACAGGTTTCATGGATTTTCGTATACAGCAAAACACAAAAATAATCAACAATTTTTAGAATTAACAAAAAAAACACAAGAATCTCAATGGTTTGAAAGTGGTGAATGGGTTATTAGGAAAAATGGTATGAAAGTAATCGGAAAAACAGACATCAACCGTTTAGTTGAAAAAAATCCGGATAAATATAAAAATAATTTGCACGTGCAAAAGTTGCTCGAGCATTTTAATGAACCAGATAATAACCTCCGTAAATTGATGAATAATTATGGTTCCGTACCAGTCCTTTGTCACGGCGACTTTTGCCGAAATAATATTTTATTCAAGTACAATAACTTGAATCATCCGATTGCAGCTTTGATATTTGATTTTGCTAATATCCGTTACGGATCACCAGCTTTAGATTTGTCATTCTTTTTATACCTAAACACCGATCGAAAGCTGCGAACCGAATATTGGTATCAACTTTTAGACGTGTATTGCAAAGAACTGGCTGTATCAGTGCCAGAAGGTGTCGTTGTACCTGATCGAAAAGCAATTGAAGTCGAGTTGGCCAAGTATTCAATTTATGGATTATCCCATGTATCATTTTTTTTGCGTGTGATGTCTGAGGAAAATTTTCAATTGGATATTACCAAGCTTGATCAAGTGTCCATGGATCAATGGGTGAAAGAATTATTGGCGTTAGGTGGAGAAAAAGGAGCTGACTTGGTCGTAGATGTTTATGAACACATCATCGAAAAGGGCTACACTAACATGTTATAACAAAAAAAAATTATCCAAAATAATTAGCTTTTTTTTATAATAAAGTTAGGAGTTTTATAAAAAATGTTTTATTTCTTACTTTTAGGGGCTATAACTCACACATATGAAATACCTGGTAGCACTGGTTGGGTTATACCAGTGTCGTACACAGTTGTTTTTGAACAAAATAATTTTTTTATATAGTATTTTTTTAAGATATTATTACATATACTAGTATAACTTTTTTTTAATAAAATCTCGTATTTAACAATAACAACAATATTTAAGGTTTCAATAAAATAATTTTTTTTAGTCTTTTGAGTAAAATTATAAAGGTAAATACTTTATTTTTGTTTCATCATAAATGAATATAATAGTAACTTTTCAAGGGGTGTCATAAACCCTGACAATCCAACCTTTTTCAACATGTCACTGTCTAATTTCTTAACAAATTACTTTTATTGTAAAATAAATTTTAAAATATATCTTTTGGTTATGTTTTTCTTTATATATATATATCTCCATTTTATGTAAGATAAGAAATCATCATTATAGGAATTGTATAGAATACAATTTTTTTCAAGGTGAAATTTTTAATTTTTGCAGTAAAGTATTTAAATAGTATTGAATACTCAAGAAAGTATTCAAAATACTTCTTCAAATTTTAAATTAGACACATAACTAATCAGCGTTGTAAGATATTTTTGTGTATATTTCTAGTTATATAGATGAATGCATAAAATCAAAAATTTATTTTATAAATAATAAATATTAATTATTAACTATTAACTATTAAATACAATTACTACACACTATTAATATATATGTTAATGATTTAATATTTACCATGGTGTATTAAAAGGATGTATCTTATTAGAAGAAATCTCAATTTATACTATTTAACATGTAACGTAATCATTTTTTTGAGATTACTTAATTATTGTTTCATTAAATCTTCAAATCTAATAAAGTATTTCTTTATTGTAAATATTGTTCATTAATATTATTAGTTAATACTATAAAAGTAATATACTAAATTAAAGAACGTAACGATTATTGTGAATATTTAGTAAAAAAAAGTTCAATAACTTCTGAGCGGTTTGTCAAATTTAAACTAAATTATTTGTTTTCTTTGTATGATAACAAGTAGTAGTTAAAGTAATTTTAACAGTTGGTAACATCCAGTATTTAAAAGTTTGTACATAATAAATTGATCACATATAATTTATACCATATAATGTTAATGTATAATTTATTATTTTGATAAATTATCAATTGTTTCAATAGTAATGTAATTAATTTTAAGTTTTTAAGAATCGAACTATAATTAATCTCTTTAAAAATTGTTGAATTTCAAGTTGAATAAAATGCAGGCAGTGAAGTGTAAAATAAAAGCAGACTAATCTACAATAGCTTATTAATTAATATATATTATTTTATAAATTATTAATTAATTAGAAAAAAAATCAAATTCGGCATCTTGCCCTATGCTTGGGCAAGTTATTTTTTGAAATTATACTACTTAATCGTTAAAAATTAATTAGTATTTTTAATGATATTTTTTTGTAATAATATACATTTATACCGTATAGTCTTTTTAGTTTATTTTTTTTTATAATTAATAGGATCTGGAATTATATATTTTTTTTAGTAATTAAGAATACATCATCAGCCAGTACAAATTTTTATTAATTAACTTGAAAACTTAAAATGTGTTGTAACTGAGATAATAGTTTTAGAGGGGAATATGGGGTTTATCCCCACTAAAAACAAAAATTATTTCCACGTTACTATATTATGCTACGACAAAGTTGGAACTCTCCAAAGTGGTTCAAACAAAATTTATAAATGCATATAATTCTGGAACCTATTTATAAATAACTTATTTCTTCAATAAAACTTGACTAACGCGGAACTGTCCGGTGCTCAATTATCTTAGCATCGCATTGTCGTGATACTCACCAAGTATAGATTCAGTGTATTATAAATATTGTTAAAAATATTCAAAAAATTATTATTATATAACTGTAATAATTATTTTATATTAAATAGATTATTTTTTTTAAATACTCTGAAAGTATTTTAAATATTTTTTAGGTATTGAAAAACATTTTGAATTTATATATTTTTATTAACATTCAAATAACTTTTAAACCATCTTTTGAATACTTATTCTGAATAAAACAAGTTATTTTTCATACTACTTATAAGTGTAGGGTACCTAAATAATACTACTAAACAAGGCAAAAATACAAAATTCTTATTAGTTGTTACTGTTTTAGAAGAAATATAATGTTCAACGATAAATCAATTACTCTGTATGACGTTATATATTAATTAATTTAATTAATATAATATAAAATTATAAATTATCTTTTAAATGTTTTTAATGATTTCTTTATTAATGTAAAATATATTTAAAAATGTATGCTACATAGAGAATGTAAATGAAAAAGACGTGTAAAACAAAATTTAAATAATTGTGGACATTAATTTTAAACTATTAAATATAATATATATATTTCTTCGATATTTTGTTATCGCTTTTTGTTTCAATAATCATAGGTCATGGGTTATTTTTTTAATTATACTACAAGTCATTATTAACATAAATACTCACAGATTTTGTCGATTATATAAACGACTAGTTACATATTTTTTTAGATGTTCCTATGCTTCCGCTAAAAACACTTTGGAAACTTCAGAAATTATTTCTAATATTTATAAATTAACTGTCCCCTTCTACGACTTATTTATTGTTATTATTATGTAATGATTAAAAGTCGGGTATATAACAACAACCGGTTTTATCACTTCTGTAGTAGACTGTTGCAATCGATCAGTTAGTGAACACTTTTGTGTAATGCGTGATCGTTATTTTAGAATTTCTTAAAATATTTTAAATAAAACAATATGCTCTCTGTGGTGAAAAACACACTGCCGAAAATAGTGGAAGCTGGTTCATTTGGCACTGGTTGTCATTTCGAATCCTTTAATACGGACAACCAAAAAATTGAAGAAGATCAATTTGCATCTACAGTTATTTTTGGCGAAATCCTCATGTCTGGAGGGCAAAAACAAAAGGTAGTTATCAAGGTAAAGCATCAGTCGCCAATATTGCGTCATATTTTTCGGAATGACAACCAATTCCACAATGAAATCGCCATGTACGAGCAAACTTTACCTTTTTTTATATCATTTTATCCAGTATCCTCAACAAAAGAGGGGTCCTTATTTGCACATTACTTTTATGGCCGCAATGCTTGTGGAGAGCAATATGAACAATCTATGATAATTATTCAAAACGTTGCCCCATTAGGGTACAGAATGAGTAAACAACGTGTGATTCTCGACTATGACCATGTTGAAATTGCATTAAAGGCACTTGCTAAGTGAGTGTTTATTAATATGAGTTTTATTATTAAATGTATTAATTAAATATCTGTAATTATTAATATAATTAGATGTTTTTTAACAAAATGGGTATTCCAAATATTCTCTATTAAACTTTATTAATCCTAAATTGTTAATTTCTATTTTAAATGTGAGAAATTATCAAGGAAAATTAAATATATTTACATTTTTACACACCATATACAGAGGGATATAAGATTTTTCGAAAAATTTTATAACTGCTGACCTACTAAATATTTTGAGTTACTTATTTTTTTTTTAATAATATAATAATAATAATAATAATATAATATAATAATATATCATACAAACTCTACATTAAAATTATTTTTCATTACTTTTTTTTAATAGTAAAAAAAATATAACTTTCTTTTTTAAATACAGTCATTTCGATGAAATAAAGTGGGGATATTTGTTGCTGGTGGGTACAGTTTATATCAGTGTAAAAGAATCACTCTGTAAATTGTCAAAACATCGTGTATAGCTCTGTATACATAGCGTTTCACGTTTTTTGAGAAATTCAAATAACTATTATTAAACATTTGTGTTTTTTTTTTTTTAAATAATTTACGGATTCGAAGATTTTCTTAAAATCATACTTTTTATTATTTGGGTTCTATTATAAAAAAATTATATTTTTTTTTAACTTAAAAATAGCTGTTTTAGAGAACTTTTTTTTAAATAAAAAACAGATAAATTTATTTAAAAAAATATTTTTTTTTTATTTAGCTTATAAAATTAACTTCATTGAGTCATATTATTATAGAAATTAACTGAACATTTTTACGGCACTTACAATTTTCAAGGTAGTTATCTCATGAAGGAGGTCTATTTTATTCCCTATTCTACTTCTTTATTCATGATTGTAAATAATTATTATAATAAGTAGAACATTCAGTTAATTACTAATTTTTAGTGGTTTGTATAATTTCATATATTTCAAGGTTAAAAATCTTTCCAAATATTAAATGTACATAGTATAATTAAAAAATACACAAAATATCTTAAGCGTGTAACACGCACATGTCAATTTTTTATGAAAAAATAGTTTAAAAATCTTAGAAAAACTAACAAATTTTAAAAGTATTTAGATATAAATATTTACAATTTAGTTGTAGTTTTTAGTAACATTATACATATATATATATATATATATATTTATATTTATATTAATATTATATCTTACTAAATATTAATTTTAGTCAGGACAAGAAAACGTTATAATTATATAGTTTAAAATGGAAAATTGTTTCTAAACATAACTAAAAAACGAAAAATATGTAATATCAATAAATATAAAATATCATTAAACATAATATAACTTATAACATAAAAACAAATCTTATTAAAATAAAAAGAAATGTATTTTTCAAATGTTATATTTTATAATAATTACCATCTAAACGTAAACAAAACGTAATGCTCTTAAGTATGAAATAAAATTTTAACGCTAAAATTAAGTGGTTTATTAATAGTAAAATATATAAAATATAAATATAATATTTACAAATATTATTTATAAATATTCTATTTTTATCTAAATTTATAATTACCATATTAAACTTTATATTATAATAGACGTAGACAAGTTATACTTATTTAAAGAATATGTGCAAATTTGAATGAGGTAGTAAAAAAAAAAATAAGGATAGTAATAAGAAAAGTCATGCAATAATTTTTTGTTATATATCATAATTATTTAAACCGTAAACATATGACAAAACCTTGATAACCTTCTAATTATACGTATAATGTTTAATTACACATTATTTCAAGTAAAAATATGTAAGCTTGACTTTCTATGATTTGTATTTCTATTTTTTTTTGTTAAATTATATTCAATATTATTTAAATTAATAAAATGTATATTACATTTTCTTTATTTTCTAATCTGATATAATTTGAAAATTTTTATCATTAAATTAAAGTGGTCAATATATATATTAATAAATATACCTAAAAAGTATTACCAAAATTAGTGTGTAAGATATCGAGATTATTGATAAAATTCTTGTTTGACTATTATCTCCTCATTGGTATTAATAAGTTAGAAATAAATTTATCTGTATCAAGTAATATTTCGAAATCCATTTTATGTAAATAAAACAAATTTTTTAAGATGATATTTTATAATTTATAGATTTCACGGTATGTCATTTACGGCCAAACAAAACAATAATAAACGATTCATGGAATTGATGGACGATATTAAGGAAACACAATGGGAAGATGGAACCGATCAGTGGATCGTTAGATTAAATGGTATGAAGAAATTCGGACCACGAGATATTAACCGGTTGATAAAGCGAAATCCAGAAAAGTATCATAATAACGTACACGTTAAAAAATTATTGGAGTTCTTTAGTGATGCTGATAATAATTTACGCCGAACAATGAACACGAGAAGTCCCCTATCGGTGTTATGTCATGGTGACTTCTGTCGAAATAACATCTTGTTCAAGTACAATGACGATAATCGACCAATTGCTACGATTTTATTAGATCATACTAATATTAGGTATGGATCTCTAGCTCTTGACTTGTCATTCTTTTTATTCCTCAATACCGACCGACAGCTTCGTTTAAATCGATGGGACCAGCTATTGGACGTATACTGCGAATCGTTAGCCGCATCAGTTCCTAGTGGAATTAATGTGCCTGACCGCAAAAGTGTGGAGGCTGAAATGTCCAAACACGCAGTGTACGGGTTGTCGTATATATCCTTTTTCTTGCGAACAATGATGAGAGATGAAAATGAATTAGACATGAATACATTTAATCAAAATAACATGGAAGAATGGTTTGAAGGTTTAATGAGTCTTGGTGGCGAAAAAGCTAACGAATTGGTTGTCGACGTGTACGAGCATATTGTAGAGAAAGGATATTCTGGAACTCCATGAGAAAGATCACATTCTTTTTACTTTAAGATTTTGTTACTGAACATCGATAAAAATTTTAGTTTTTTATTCAGCTATTGTTTATATTTGAAATTTCATGAGAGCATTAGGAAGTAAATATATGTTTGCTGTTAATTTATTCAAATTTATGTGTTAATCAAAATAGTGGTTTGTCTGTGATAATTATAAATGTTTAAATTTTATTGTAAACAATATTTCTTATAAAGTGCAACTTTACTGCAACTTTTTTTTTATATGTTTGTGACTAGGCTTCTAAAATCGTAATTTAATATTTTCTTATATTTAAATTTTTTATATTATATAAAAGAAATTATTAAAATACCAAAAACATTACAACTTTATAAATAAACCTTTATTAATTAGTATAAGATAAGGATGTGTATTCTTTAAAATTGTTAATCTTGTTAAAACTGATGCGCTCTTGTTGTACCATATGTTTGTTAATTTATTTTAAAATAGGTACACAATACAATTTTTCTACGTAGTAATTAAAAAGTTAGTTTGAGGGGGGCGCCGTCCAATGGTATATAAAGGACCTTCTTAATTTATGTACTAGTTAGTACGTGAAAAATAAACTGACCTTAAAATAGTACTCCTAGTTACGTTTAAGACTACCTGAACAGTGTATTGGAAGCTAAAAAAGTGATATAAAACATGATATGTGAATAACTATGTGTTGTTTGAATTAACAGGTAGGAAAGCTCTCCATATCATACAATTTTAGTTAAAGTTGTAGCAATCCTAAGTTTTTTCCAAAAGAAATAATTTTTTTTTGGAACCACTTACACAATATGTTTCTGGCAAATTTTTTATTAATAAACGACAAATTAACATTGGTATTATTTCCTTATCATTTCCTTAGTTTTAAATAATTTTATGACAATATTAAAATTTTAAATTAGATTTGTTATTTTTGTCAATAAATCACGAGCTTAAGGCCTGTAATATCGTGTAAGATCACTCCTGACTTGAAGCAATAAAACTTCTATTAAATATTATTAATAAATTATTGTAACATGATAACTTATAATAAAATAGGTGCACAGAAAAAGAATAATATATGATAATTACAATTGCTAACATTAATTCCGGCGAATAACTTTTTTCACCAAATACAATTTTTGGTTGTGTAAATTTAACCTATTGAATATTGCTATAAATATTCCAATAACTATTTACAAAAATGTAAATTATTAGCATGAACTTTAATTATTAACTAAACTTCTGTTTTGCAAAAATGTGAAATATGCATTCAGTTGTTACGTGTCTACTGTATTAAAATTAAATTAAAAATCATTTAAGTAATTTATGTTAGAAAATTATTGTTTGTGTACAATAAAAATTTTGTTCTATGTAACATTTTTTAATAATTCACTGTTTTCTAAATTAAAGTCAGAATCATTTTTAGTTTACGCCTGCATAAATACTGCTATGCTATTTATTCACACAAATATTTGAGAGGCCCCTAGTAATAATTATAAAACTAATTCTATAGCATATACGAAGTTAGATAGAAAGGTTAACGAATAATTGTCTATAAGTAATTTAAAATTTTTAAAAATTAACTGATTATTTACAAACACATATTATGACTATCATACATTTTTACAGAGTGATTCTTTAACGGTTTTCATCCGATTTCTCTTAAAATAATAATCATGTCAAGAAAATTATTTTTGGTAGTTTATATTTTCATATATTTCCCAATTTCTCAATTTTTAATTTATCCCTTATATTTTATAAGGGTGTTAACTTATAATACTAACTAACAACTATTATATTAATTAATTATTTACTATTTTAAATAGTGATACAATTTAAAAATATTTCTGTTCACAGCACCTTTTTTTAACTTGAACTACTGAATATATTTTTTTATTGTTATTATACATTAGCACTATGAAAATACTGTCTGAAATAATTTTTTTTTAATTTATGAAAAATGTAAAAAAAAAACTGTAGCACAGTGGGGTCCTGTCACAGTGTGAACGTAGCATAGTTAAGACTAGTATAGATGATATCTGACAGTGATTAAAATCACTATCATAAGAAACGCTTCTATTCATAAGAACGCAAATCTGTAAATAGTGTTTAATTTTAAGAAATTGGTGGATTATTGAAAAGCAAAGTTCTAACTCAAAAAAAATTACTGTAATTTATTCATTTTTGAAAAAGTTATAGAAATTATAAGTAAAAAAATATTTAAATTTTGTGGGTCTTATAATAGTTATATTTTAAGGCATTTTATCTATTTACGCAAAAAAGGCATTAATTATAATTTAAAGAATATCGTTATCAATTAGATTTGCTACCATATTTAAATAACAATTTGTGTGATTTTTTCATACTATTTGTGCCTTTTGATGTATTGTTAATCAAAATCGATCAGGAAGAATAATTCTTACCGAATTTTTGTGACTGTCGCCATATTTTCTTAATAATTAAGAAAATATGGCGACAGTTACAAAAATTAAATAAATACTTTATAAGAAATGTTCTGAAATTTCAGTATAATGTTGACATGTTCATCAAATATTCGTATACAAATATAAAATGTTTAATATGTTAATGTTTAAACTATTTTCCCAAAATATTCCTTACATCGTATGCGTTAAAAACTTTCAAAACATTACTGTGAAAATGCAGAAATTTTTTTTAAGAGAGTAAATAATCAAGAGAGAGGAAAATAAACCTTCTCAGCTTCGCAACAAAGATAAAAAAAATAATTATAATTACTTAATGATATTTATTATATTAGTTTTAGTGACATGACAAGGATAAATTCAAGATTATTGCAAGTTGTAGAGCAGGGTGCTTTTGGCAATGGAAAAATATTTATATCGTTCGAAAAAGATAATGAAAGTGTGAAAATGGACCAGTACCAATCTGCAATTACTTTTGGAACTTTAAAATTGTCGGGTGGTCAATCATATGAAGTGGTCATAAAATTAAATCTAGGGACTAAATTTGAACGCGAATTTATGAAAACTGATTCTCAATTTCACAATGAAATTTTGATGTACAAATTGATTATACCATATTTGATGTCATTTTATCCTCAATCTAGCACCCAAAAATCAACCATATTTCCCAAATTTTATTATGGAATTGAAACTGATGAAAACAAAGAAGAACAAAGTATGATAATTTTAGAAAACTTGCGACCACATGGCTATCGTCTATCAGAGGAAAGAGTATTTCTTGATTTTGACCATTTAGCAGCTGGACTACAAATTATTGCAAAGTAAGATTTTTTTTGCATAGTAAATATTCATAGAAATAACTTTTTTTAAATAAAATACTAAATAGTAGTTAATAATTAACGGTATTATTTTTTAAATCAAGGTTTCATGCATTATCATACGTCGCAAAATATAAAGATAAAAACTCGTTTCTAAATTCTATTAGTGGAATAAAAGACACATTTTGGAATTCATCAGGGGAGTGGATATTTTCAGAAAAGATATTTACTGCTATCGGTAAAAGAGGAATAAACAGATTAATACAACGTAACCCTACAAAATACAGTGACCATCAAAATTTAAAGAAGTTAATTGGTTTTATTGAAAATAATTATGATAGCATTCGAAGAGTTTTAAAACCACGTGAACCTTTAGCCGTTTTATGCCACGGTGATTTTTGTAGAAATAATATACTGTATAGATATAATCAGAACGGCTGTCCTTCCGACGCATTGCTCATTGACGTGGCTACATCAAGGTATGCGTCACCAATTTTAGATTTGTCTTTTTTTTTATACTTAAATACCGATAAAAAATTACGGGAAACTCGATGGAACGATTTGTTAGATATTTATCACTCGCATCTATCACAATCAGTTTCAAATGAAGTACACATTCCTAGTAGATCTGAACTAAATTCTGAAATGTCGTCGTACGCTTTTTATGGATTTGTGCATGTTGCATTCTTTCTTCCTTGCATGGTTGAAAAAAATCCACCAACCTCAACATTAGATTATTTAAAACAATCACCAGAAGAGCGCTTAAAATTTCATTTGACTATCGGTGGGGATGAAGGAACTGAAATTGTAGCAGACGTTGTACAACATATAATAGACATGGGTTATATAGATCTACCATAGCGTTGATGATAAAATCTTTGTACATTTTTCTTAATGCAGTATTACATTTGTGCAATAAATTATTGTTTATAGTTTTAATCTGAATTTAATAAATATATATGTAGTTCGATAACATTATATCAAAATGAAATATTTTAAAGATGAAAGTAACTGTATTAGAGATACTTATTTGAAAACTGCTTCAAAGATGTCACATAAAAGAAAAATAATAGAAAATTTTTTTTTTTTTTGCTTTATTTTAATAATACAATCTCTACAATAAGTATAAAATATTAATATACAAAATTTAACATGATTTATTTAAGAATAGAAACCGCCCACTTACGGTCACTCTTTTAAATTAACATTGACAATTACAACAAAAATTTTAATTAAAATGGGTTTTTTAAATTTAACGAAATATATATTATAACAGTTATAAGTATTTCATTGTAATAAAAATATTTTGTGTTGTGTTTTTAGAATATGTTATTGACAATATAGATTCATTTATTTAAAAAATTTCTAAAATCATAGCTCTCATGTTAACATCATAAAACCACTTCTAATAATTACAATATTAACTATACTTTTTATGCATAATATTTTTTTTGAATTTAATTACTTACTTAGAAGTAAAATTATAAGACTTAAAAAAGTATTATTTTTTTCTGTGTAATAAAATTTATTTAAAAAATTAATATCTATCGATTTTTAAAACATATATAATTTTCTCATTCGACACATACAAATAATACCATTGCATAGATAGTATCAAATTTATAAATATATATTTTTTTATCTTTAAATTTACCACTACCCAGAAAAATATCTGATTTTGTTTTCCCCGAAAAATAGTTAATACATTATTTTTTGTCTATTTTAAAAACAAAAATACAATTTGTTTAATTGTTAAATATTTTTCTATTTTTCACTAAAATATTTTATTTGGTGTAAAAATTGCATTAGTGTAATAGTTAACTTAAAATTATAAATAAAGTTTTTACAGGTTTCTTAATTTATTTAAAAAATACAGAAAACTTAATAATTGAGGTATTAAAATAACCAATAATGAAGTATTACATTGACCTTTTTAAAAAAATATATTTTATCATTTTATTTAGTTAATATAGTTACATTATATCATAGAAAAGATAAAAAATACATATAATAAAATCTTGCGATATGGAAGCTATTGAATGGAGTGTATACATTAGTTCAAAAGTTGAAAAGATAAACTAATTATTCTATTAGATGAACTTGCAACAAAATTCAAAAATTATTATATTGGATATAAAATTACATTACTCTTTAGATAATTGAATAGTTATTATAAATCTAACTAATAAGTTTTAAAACATGATTAATTAAAAATTAATTTAAAATAAATAATTTTGTGATTCTTTAATTTTTTATGATGATTAAAATTTCCAGTATTCATAGATATTATCAAGTGTAAAGTATTTAATAAACATCAGAAATTTCTTTTGTGTATATTTTTAATTTTGATATCGAATGGTAACATATGATAAGTAAGATATATATATATATATATTAATTTTTTTTTTTCGATATTTTGAATGAAAAGTTGTGATTGTATCATAAATAATAGCGATGTTGAATAGGCAAATTAAGATTTTTTTCTATATAAACTAAAAATTTCATTTTGTTATAATTAATTTAATACTGCATGGATAATAAAAAGTTTTTTTTTTGGATTTACTGGAAATATTTTCTTTAATTATGTCATAGCTTTTATTAATTATGATAAATTTCACAATATTTTCAATTTCAGTAACGATATGTTTTACATTAATATTCAATTCCCGAAATAGAAATAACATAGAATTAGACATGATAAAGAAAAATGTATATTTATGTTTTTTAAAAAAATTTAATGTTTATATAAAAAAATAATTTAATAATTTTTTTTTACATGAGATTTTGAAAGCACTTTTTCGAATATTGGTCATGGAACTACAAATCTTATTAATCATATAATGTTATATTATATTTCACAGTATTTTTACTTTTAATCATTAAGAATGAAATCGTTTCTGACTGATTCAGCGTTAACAAATATTGTGAACAGTGGAGCTTTCGGTAAAGGTTGTTATTTTGTATCATTTGAACGGGATTTGAATAATGAAGGTGAAGATCAGTTTCAATCTATTATAGTTTATGGAACCATAAAAGTATCGGATGGTCGATATTATCAAGTTATTATCAAAATAAATGAAGGTACTCTAGAAAATATGAATATTGATGTACAATTTCACAATGAAATACAAATGTATAAAAAAATAATTCCATTTTTGATGTCGTTTAATCATCATTCAACCAAACACTATACACAACTGTTTCCCAAATTTTATTCTGCAATTGAAAGTGACAGGGATAACTTAGAAAAAACAATGATCGTTTTAGAAAATATGCATCCTCAAGGTTATAGGCTTTCGGAAAATCGTCTCTTCTTAGACTTTGATCATTTAGCTTCTTGTCTACGAGCCATTGCAAAGTGAGATTTATTATATGATAGTAATATTGAACTACTATCTAATATTTAGCTATTAATTAAAAATTAAGTGAAGTTATATTGGTTAATATGTTTTTTTAGATTTCATGCTCTATCATACACAGCAAAAAACCGAGATATGAATACTTTCAAAAGATCTATTGAAGGTATTAGTAGCACAGCTTGGGATTCTAATGGTCAATGGGTATATCCAGAGAAATCGTTGACTATCATTGGTAAACGGGGGTTAAATAGATTACTTGAACGAGATCCAGCTAAATATCGTAACCATAAAAATGTAAAAAAATTAATTTATCTTCTTGATAATGGATATAATAGTTTGCGTCAAACTCTTTTATCTCGAGAACCTCTAGCCGTCTTGTGTCACGGTGACTTCTGTAGAAATAATGTAATGTTCCGTTATGACCATACAGGACGTCCTTTGAATGCAATACTTTATGATTTCAGTTCACTAAAATATGGATCTCCGGCGTTAGATTTGTCTTTTATCATGTACATGAATATGAATAAAAAAACAAGAGAAACTCGATGGAATGAATTATTAGATATTTATCATTCTTGTCTTTTAGAATCAGTTCCAAATAATGTGCGTATTCCCAGTAGATCTGAGTTAGACTCTGAAATGGCTTCTTGCATTTTCTATGGGTTTATTCATATTGCTTTTTTTCTGCCTTTTATGGTAGAAAAAAATCCTATGGACATGAAAGATTACGATAAACTATCATCGGAAGAAAAATTGAATGTAACTATGAGAAATGGTGGTGATGAAGGTACAGATATGGTTGCAGATATCGTGCAACATATAATCGACATGGAATATTTATGAATTCTAAAATAAATAAAATTTGTTAGCATAATAATGATTGCTTAGTATATAAAAAAAGATTTACTTAGTTAATTCATTTAGCTATCTTCTCTAAGATAATTTTTTTTAGACAAATATTATTTTATTGTATTTATTATTTATTAATATGAACACATTAAAATTATAGAGAGTTTTACTTATAAAACACTTTGTAAATTAATAATGCTGGTTACGAAGTGATTGATTTATTTTGACCACTAAACTTCTCTTAAAGGAATAATAATCTTGAAAATATTTGTATTAGTAGTATTTATCTCTTAATTTATAAATGGTTAAATAAATTTTATTCCGTCCCTTATAGCTTATAAAGGTATCAACTTAAAATTTTGAATAGTGACATACACATTTAATTAGCTTAGAAAATGGAAAATTATCTAATTTAGAAAATTACTGATAGATAACAACTTTTGTATCATAATTTCAGAAGTTATTAGCATATTTATACCTGAAGGGAGGAGTAGTGTAGCTGAGAAATTACTAATAATGAAAAAAATCACGTACTTCACTTCAAATTTGATAATCATAATTTTTTCCAAAGTAATGGTCCAAAAGTTACTATCAATAAGTCATTTTCTTAATTTTATAATTTTCTATTTCATAAGCTAATTGAATATGTATGTTGCTAATAAAAATACTTAAGATTGGTATTCTTATAAGGGATGAGGGACTGACTAAAATATTATTTAACACTTATAATTAAGATATAAATACTACTAAAAATAGCCAAAACAAATATTCCCAAGATTATTATTTTTTTAAGAGAAGTTTAGTGGTCAAGATAAATCTATTTTTGTGTATAATTATTCATTACCCTGTATATTAAAACTACAGTTTTTACTTATGGCACATCTTGTAAATTAAAAACGTACAGAGATTTTACTTACAAAAGACCTGTTTATTGATATTATATGATGATGAATTATCACAGGACTCCATTTTGTTTATTTTCAAAAAAAAATGTTCGATCAGGTACTAATTTAATTATTGATTGATTTTTTATAAATCAGTAAAGTTCTTTAATGGTTAATACAGGGCATGATTTTTAAGAGGAAGAACAAATATAGTCATACCTGGTCTATAATAATTTTGTTAAATTTATAGAATATTAAATTTCGCACACTTCTGACTACCCTAAACCCCATATATAAATTACAGCGTTTATACTTATCAAACAACTTAACATAAAAGTATAATAGGCAAAAATATATGACTAAAAAAAATTAATAAAAATAAAAAAAAAACTGCTATTAAATGTTGAGCTTTGTTGCCTCTTAAAAGTGGCCTTAGAGTTTTAATACTCGCATTTAAATAAAACGGGAATAATAAAAATTCTTGTAAGTATATTTAAAATAAATTACAAATTTTTGTATACCCATAGTGGAACAGATCTATGTAACTACTTTTAATTTTTTTAATCTAACTAGCATTTCAATGTAATTTTTTTTAAACTATTAATGCATTCTTCAAATACATTAAAATCATATTTTTATTATTTTTTTTAATAATAAAAAACACAAAATTTTTTTCATTTTTGAAATTTTAAAATTGTGATCTATAAAAAAAAATAGCACGTTTAAATTTTTCAAAATTTTAAATTAAAAAAATTATTTTTTTACTAAAAACAAATAATAAAAATTATTATTTTAGCGTAATCTAAATAAAAATTGAGAAAATTGTAAAAAATAAATAATACTGTGAAATAATTATCATTAGTTATTAGTTATTAGTTATATTAATATGAATAGTAAATTTTTAGGAATTTATTCCTGTTATTAGAGAATAAAAAAATTGTTTTGAATTATGTGTATTGATCATAAATATTTTTATAGATATAAACTACATATTTAAGATTACTTCAGGATTATTGTAGAAGCATAAAAATTAATTCTTACTTTTAAACATTTATACTTTAGTACTTAATATATAGGGATAGATTTTTTAATAAATCGCAATGCATATACATAATATTGGTAAAGTAAATTTAGCTCTATATTCTACATTTTTTCTCATTAATATATTTTAAAAATATTCTTTCAAAAAATTTTATTTTAACATTAGTCAGTTAATATTTCTTAAAATAATAATAATTTAAAAAAAAAAAATATGTTTGGATTCTTTTAGTAACATATTATTCTGTATTATTTCATTATTAGATACATTTTATATAAGTCTATTCCTATGCCTTATAAGGGTATCATCTTTGTTTTTTCAAATGGAAATATATATTTATAGTTTGATACATTGTTGGTGTTTTTTTAATTAATAAAGTTTAAATGATTATTTAAGTTATACGATTACTTTTTATACTACTTCAAAGTTTTGATTTTTTTGAAATTGTGTAATTGTATATAAGAAAAGTGCCACTATAAATACTGGTAGCTAATTATAACGTTCATGATATGCTACTTGCCAATTATTACTTAATTGTTAGATAACTTTAAGTATAAAGTTTTTTAGACAATATGTTGTTATAAAAATATATGTTTACGGTATACAATATCTTGAAAAATATGAAACAGTTTTATTTTCTTATAAAATTGTTAAGTATAAAATACTTACTAACTAGTAAATCGGTGATGCAACATAATATTATCAAGAGAATTTTTATAATATCAGATATATTTTTTTAAAATACTCTTCTGTAGATTATTATCAGATAATAAATGGTAAAAAAACTTATAATGTTTTTCTAATAATGAAAACAGTAAACCCCCAAAAAAGTGCTTTAATGTAGATTAAACGATAAGAATCCAAGTAAAAAAAAAACCTATAGATAATTATTAGGGGTGAATTTTGAAGGTCAATGTGTAGGTATAATTATTTTTATATCATTGGATAGATTAAGATATATTATAATACAGTAAAAAATCTAAATAAAAATTTTTTCTCTATGTATAAATGCAAAATATTTAATTATTTTTGAAAACATAAATATCTTAACAGGTTTAACGATTTTATATAAATGTTTTAACTATCCATTGGAAAAAAATTAAATACTTAAACAATTTATATTATTTGTACAGAGTGATTCTTTAACTACTCTTCATGAAATACTTTCGAAAATATTAAACCTAATCATTATTTCATTTTTTTAACAATATAGTTTTTAGTTAGCCTGTTTTACACGAAAAATTAATTTTCTGTTACCATTTTGTATACCCAAAACTCTTATCAACTTATAATTTTTAAATGACAGTCACAATTTATTTTAAACAATCAAATTTATTCAATTGAAAAAAATTTATTTGTGTTAAAAATGTTTTTATTTTATTTGAATTACTATGAACTACAATTTTTTAAAGTTAAGGATCAATTCTAATAAAGTGTACTTATTTTTAAAAAACCCGCAGGTGGATCATCAAGGATCACGCGCTCAACAACCCCACGAACCCTAGTTTATTCAGTGGGGGTGACGATACATACCACTTCTCTTAGCCGGTCATAACTTGGTTAATTGGGACCGGTAGGCCAGGGCATATCTGCTTGCTAACAGCGAATAGGCTCTCCTAATCCAGTCATACCAAGTGAAAGGGTTGCTAACTTGTCACAGGGTAGTTAGCCAAAAGGTAAAGTGATCATTGGAATCCTTTATGGCATCTGGCGCACCATAGAGTATACAGCCTTATCACAGTATTGAGCTCTGCTGCGATGGACCTTTATTTCTCGAAGACTTGTGGGAATATGGACAAAAACATAGAAAAACCACAAAGTAACGTATTTGGGATGAACAGGGATCCTACGGACAACCTTTCGGACACAAGAGAGTAAACTGGCGACTCTTCGCAGAAGAATCGCACACTCGAAGGTCTTAAAGCGAACAACAGAACACTTGATGAACCATCTACTAGCAAATAGTCAGCAACTTACGTGATGCAGTATCGGAATCACTACTGTGCAGGAAGTGTGGAGTAGAAGAGAAAGACTCATTTCACATTATGTGTGAATGTGAGACCTTGTCCACACTAAGATCAAACTACTTGAGTAAACCTTTTACTGAAAAAAAAAGATATTAAAAACCTAAGACCCAGAGAGTTACTAAATTTCGCCGGAAAGACAGGACTCTTTGGTCATCCATAAAGGTGAATTGATGGTTTTATACAATGATAAGTATATTGCAATAACATTTCGGTGATAACACTTAGGTGGGTAAACCGAATTAAGATATATCGGTATGAGGTGCACATAATGGACCAACAGATCTGAGTGCATGGACATTATTTCCACCTCTATAATAACTAAAACTATAACTAATTTTAAAAAATTGCAAAATTATCATATTGTTTATCGACAAACACTACTGGTTCATAAAAATACAATAAACTGTACACCCTGTCATATTATGAACCGGTAGCAAAAAATTAATTGTTTGTATAAAGCAACACAAGAAAAAACTATTATTGTTAAAAAATTAAATTATGATTTACTAAAATACTTTCGAACGTATTTTGTGATATTTAGTTAAGGAATTACTCTGTATATTGTTAGTTGAGTATTCACTAAACATTGTCAATACATTTAATTTAATTTATCTTCATGTGATTCTTATGGATAATAATAATTTCACTCTAAAGATATTGTATCTTGTGACAAAATGACAACCAATTATTGTATAATAATTTAAATACCATAGTTTCTTTAAGTTTTTTATGTAAAAAAATATAAAATAATTTTATAATTTATTTTAAATAATTATTTTTCTTTTATTGCTTAAACTATACTAACTTCTACAAATTTTGAAATAAACTTCTGCAGCTTATATTTTAGCTCTCACCGAACGGATTTCTTTCAACGATACGTCAAACATCACAAATCGATTCTAGTCGAAGACATTACCCTCAAAAATTGAAAAAATTTCTCTCGTTCCCCGTAAATGAGGGAAACCTCCAAAAAAATTACAAATTTAAAAATCGCTAATTTTCGAAATTTTTTCAATTTTTTTTCTTAAAACTGCCATAACTTTTTCAAAAATGAACAAATCAATATAATTTTTTTTTTATAGATACTTGATGTACATCATTTGATATATTTTTTTTATTAATTTAACTCTTTACCTGCCCACAAAAGGGATTTAAAATGACAACTTTTTCATAAAAAATTAACTTTTGAAAGTGTTCCGGAAATACTGATACTTTTATATATATCTTAAATTAAAGCTTATGTAGTATACTTTATAATTAAAAAAAAAAATTTTGGACTTTATTTGGTCTTCATGGTGAAACTAGCTACCGTATTAAATAATTACTATTTTTGTGTTAATATTCTTGGTTTTGTATTTTATTTTATTATAAGGGGATTACACTGTTTTTCATAAATATTATATCAATCTAATTGACATAGTATAAAAAGTTAAACATATATAATTTTTTTGTATCTTTGAAGTCGAGAAAAATTACTTTAAAATTTAAACTAGCTAAATTTCCATTTTTATTAAGTGACGAATGAGATGTAAGGTTTATGAGACGGTAACACTTGGGTCTTTCACGCCTGTGGCACTGAATTTTTTCTTAATTTTTTTTGAGTTAGAAAAAAATGTTTAACTCATTTGATTTTTATTTCATTTAGATTCAATAACTTCAATAAATATCAAGGATCCTATTACTGCAGTCTCCTCTCGTGAAAAGAAATTCATATTAATATTATTTTACTATGTGATTTTTTTTTGTAGCTATCATTTATTTTCTCAGCTCTCCTACATTTTTGACAATTTTTTTTTTTAATTAAACACTATCTACAGATTTGCATCGAAGCGTTTTTTATGATAGTGATTTTAATCACTATCAGATATCATCTATACTGGACCCAACTATGCCATGACCCCACTGTGCCTCCACACCACTGTGCTGGGATTTTTGTACTTAGTTTAGTAACCAAATGAGTTTCACTATTGGCTATAAAATCTGATTGCTATTTGTATCACCATGTAAACCGTTAGCATTGAGTAAATACACAAAAGCTAATTATTTCTTTAATTTTCTTTAGAAAGTTTTTGCGAACCTTCAAGAAAGTAAGACAATTTATTTTGTTATACTAAAACCATACAAAGTGCTAATAAAACTCTTTAGATATGGATATTCACAGAAAAATAAAAAGTAATACTCTATTTTAAAGTAAAACAATACCATTTTAATTCTTATTTCTTTTAATTAATTTTTGATTAATTGCATAAATCATTTTCTTGTGTAGAATATTATTTCACTAGATAAAGTTGCTATCTTTTCTTTTCTAGAATTAAGATTGAATGGCATCAAACACGAGTATAGCGACTATGCATTTGGTAATTGTGAACTTGATGAGGAGAAATTTGTATCAGTTGATATCCACACTAATAATATTTCTGATTATAAGCCTAAAAATCTGGACAAAAAATTTGTTTTGAGTACTTCCGGGATCTTAGACGATCTTAAATGTACAAATTTATCTAATAGTGCTAAAAATGAAACTTCAATTGAGTTTAGTTCTGGCGATCAGCCTGGTAAAATAGACAAAGTTAATAATTGGGTTAAATCTGTGAGTAAAATTAAAAATAAGCAGTACAGAATTTCATATAAAAATTTTGATTGATTTTTAGGCAGTCGAGTTACATTCATCCTATGTTTTAAAAACTCCAGCAATGTCATTAGATGGTGGTGATCATTTAGATATAATCACAGAGAATACCATTGAAGAATTTACTTGTCCAGAAATTGGTGAGAAATATATGTATATTTTAAATATAATGAAAAAATAATATAAAAATCAATTTACCTTAGGCGAATTGTTAAAACCATTACCTTTGTGGTATTTCTTATTTTTCAGAACCATATTAGAAAAATGTTTATTAGAAAAGTTTAGAAAATCTTTTTACTAATTATAAAATTTTTCAAAATCAAAATAAATAAAAAAAAAAAATTCTCCTAGCTTTAAATGCGATTAAAAAAATAAATTTTCATAGTGCTAATGTTAAAATTCTTACGCTTCACATTAAGTTAATAACTATAACATCAACATATCAAACATTTTAGGTCAACTTATTAAAAAGTATGATAACTTTTTCTACGTTAAAAATCAAAATTCATCAACCAAATACGTACACAACAATACTGTATGGAAAAAGACATTGGGTTGTGGTGATCATTTAGATATAATCACAGAGAATACCATTGAAGAATATACTTGTCCAGAAATTGGTGAGAAATATATGTATATTTTAAATATAATGAAAAAATAATATAAAAATCAATTTACCTTAGGCGAATTGTTAAAACCATTACCTTTGTGGTATTTCTTATTTTTCAGAACCATATTAGAAAAATGTTGATTAGAAAAGTTTAGAAAATCTTTTTACTAATTATAAAATTTTTCAAAATCAAAATAAATAAAAAAAAAAAATTCTCCTAGCTTTAAATGCGATTAAAAAAATAAATTTTCATAGTGCTAATGTTAAAATTCTTACGCTTCACATTAAGTTAATAACTATAACATCAACATATCAAACATTTTAGGTCAACTTATTAAAAAGTATGATAACTTTTTCTACGTTAAAAATCAAAATTCATCAACCAAATACGTACACAACAATACTGTATGGAAAAAGACATTGGGTTGTGGTGATCATTGTGATAAAAAGATGACACTTTTAAATGTGAACCGTAATCAAAAGGTCGACTTCCAGCCCGTTATTAACGGAAGTCAAATAAGTAAAAAACCTAATACATTTTTGGAAACCGAACATAGAAATTCAGATGATAAGATTGATTTGGAAAACACTAGATCAAGCCCTTACAAAATATACAGTACATTTCCTTTTAGGGATATGTCAAATGCTGTGTTCAAAAGAACACCATCGTCAAGACTTAGTAAGTAAAATATTCTATTTCTAAGTATTTCCTTAAATTCATATAGTATTATATCAAATAATATAAGGTTTAACATAATTTTTGATCCATTTACAATAATATTTCTCATTTATTTTATAGCCACTAATTTTATATTTTAAAAATATTCAAAATTTTAGGTAAACTGATTGAAAAGTTTGATAACTTTTTCTACGTTAAAAATCAAAATTCATCAACCAAATACGTACACAACAATACTGTATGGAAAAAGACATTGGGTTGTGGTGATCATTGTGATAAAAAGATGACACTTTTAAATGTGAACCGTAATCAAAAGGTCGACTTCCAGCCCGTTATTAACGGAAGTCAAATAAGTAAAAAACCTAATACATTTTTGGAAACCGAACATAGAAATTCAGATGATAAGATTGATTTGGAAAACACTAGATCAAGCCCTTACAAAATATACAGTACATTTCCTTTTAGGGATATGTCAAATGCTGTGTTCAAAAGAACACCATCGTCAAGACTTAGTAAGTAAAATATTCTATTTCTAAGTATTTCCATAAATTCATATAGTATTATATTAAATAATGTAAGGTATAACACAATTTTTGATCCATTTACAATAATATTTCTCATTTATTTTATATTTAAAAAATATTCAAAATTTGAGGTAAACTTATTGAGAAGTTGGATAACTTTTTCTACGTTAAAAATCAAAATTCATCAACCAAATACGTACACAACAATACTGTATGGAAAAAGACATTGGGTTGTGGTGATCATTGTGATAAAAAGATGACACTTTTAAATGTGAACCGTAATCAAAAGGTCGACTTCCAGCCCGTTATTAACGGAAGTCAAATAAGTAAAAAACCTAATACATTTTTGGAAACCGAACATAGAAATTCAGATGATAAGATTGATTTTGAAAATACTAGATCTAGTACTTATGATATAAATCGTAAATTTCCTTTTAGAGATATGTCAGATGCTGTGTTCGAAAGAACACCATCGATAAGACTTAGTAAGTAAAATAATCTATTTCTAAGTATTTCCTTAAATTCATTTAGTATTATATTAAATAATTTAAGGTGTAACACAATTTTTTATCCATTTACAATAATATCTCTCATTTATTTTACAGCTACTAATTTTATATTTAAAAAATATTCAAAATTTTAGGAAAACTGATTGAAAAGTTTGATAACTTTTTCTGCGTTAAAAATCAAAATTCGTTAACCAATGAAGTACCTAACAATACTGTATGGAAAAAGACATTGGGTTGTGGTGATTGTATTTAGAATACACTGATTTGGTTTTTAATGCGTTTGAAGAGACACAACTTAAACAAAAACGTCACTGGACTGATGCACATCATATCGCAAATCAAAATATTTAATGAATTGTTTACACGTTTTTTTTGTATATATTATTATCTTATTTGTTTATTCAACTATTTAATCCTTTTGAAATTTCTTGTTTTTGAATTTTTATTGTTAATAAATTATTTATATTCAATAATTATAGTTTCATTTTTTAAATATTAAAAAAAAAAGGAACATATAAGGTATACATTTAGTATTACTAGAACTAAGTATTTATAAAAGAGATCTATAACAGCTAATAGCACTTGAGTGAATGCTATAAGAAATACTAAATGTGTTATATTTTAACAAATAGTACACAAATATTGAATTAAAATTTTCAAAACAAAATTCCAGTATTTTTTAAGTTAGCTTTATTGATTTTTAAAACAATGAGACATGATTCATAGTAGGGTTAGATAAGGTACATTTGACGGACAATAAAATTGTTTTACACTAGTGATTGAATTTAAAAAAATTTAGTTGGACATATTGTTGTTAAATTGATATACCATAATATTTTAAGATCTGTACAATTATTAAAAATCAATATTTTTTAAATACACTCATAGTGTAAAATAAGAATGTAATTTTCATTGAAATTTACTCCACCCTTCTATAATTATTAGTTGAAAATTAATTCATTAATATTTTCATAGTTTCTTAATTTGAAAAACGTAACTTGGTAAGATACAATAATTTGACAAAGTTTCTTTTACAATTAATAATAATAATATGTTTTCAAAATTGATAAATTATAATATGGATTAATTCATTACATTGTATAAAAAATATAATGTATTATAAAATATATGTCAATTGTATAAAAAAAATTATTTGCTTCTTAGCGTAGGTGGAAAAAATAAAACGATGTCATGTAGATGAATTCGTGATCACATTTACGCACTATATTTTATCTTTTAACTTTTTTAATTACATGAGATGTACATTAGTAATACTATTTGTGATTACAGTCACATGACTCGATGCTTGAAGTAATATGTCATACAGTAAAAATAACCTGATCGTCGTTTGCGTATTGTAATTTAAGCACGTCTGTAGTATTTTGTATAGTCCGATTATAATTGTCATTCTTTAAAGGTGTTCACGATGATTATAAATTACAATTTTCTCAAAAGTTGGTTGTCACAGACTCTGACGGCCGAAGGAGTTTCTTCTACGGTTCTTCTGAAACTCAACCGATAATTTTCAAACCGATAAGAGACTCTAGACACATTTGAAGAGGTAAAAAAATTCAGTTATTATCTTCAATAGCGGAACGGGATATCTGAGAACTTCTAGTCAAGATGAGCCTGTTCGGTTGACTATAAAAGTAAAAACAACTATTGATCTCTTTCGAAAGGTGCTCAAGACAAACAGACAATTCATTATTAAATCCCAAACCGGAATATGCTACTGGGTCTTCGTTTCAAAAGTTTGTATACGATAAAAATGAAGGTGGGTCGAGCAGTCACAACGAGCACATAGTAGTGCTGGAAGACCCACAGGCGTTAGGTTATACCGTGTTGACTAAGTTACTTGGACTACAACTATATCAGCGTCGCCTTCACTGCACTTGATCGTTTACACGGTTTGTCGTACACTGTAAAGCAAAAGAACCCGGTGATATTCCATAAGCTAATGAGAAACTTACGAGAAATTCAATAGGCCGATGACGGCCACTTAAGAACAACGACCTCAAGTCGTTGGGTATACGAGGCGCTAAGCCGCTGATGGAAATAGAAAAGTATCGTGACGGTAAGCTGAAAAGATTCTTGTACATAATAAGGGAGACAAATAGAATCCTTTGAATAGGCCAAAGAACCGTTTGCGGTATCACTTTCATAAGCCCTACATACTGTTCAAGTGCTACGACCAAAGAAAACCCGTGGACGCCATGATCACAGAATTCGCGGTTGTAAGGTAGTTGATTATTTACCTGCTAATACTTAAAGTAAAACTAAGTTTAACAAAGAATAACAATAATTACACTGAGAACAGTAAGTTTTGTAAAAATATGTGCACCCGCTTCAAATTTCTGCGCCTAAATTATTCGACAAACTTACACGACGCGTTCGAAATACTTATAAGACATTTAATTTGATTGTTCTACCGACGATGCCGGCAAAAGTTGGTCGGTAATAATATTATTATGAAGTTGAACACGTGCGTTGCCTATCTGTGCGCCGAAACGATATAATTCTACGGGTTAACATCATTACTGTAAACCTGCACTGCTGTTTACACGTCTTTTAAATTGAACAGTTTTTTACTTACCTGTACGTGAGTGTGAACTGTTTGATTCGTTTAGTATTTTTCTTGAACATTTCGATAGAAGTTTTAAACTCAATTAACTTCATAATATCTTTACTTGATTTTCAATAGATTATAAAAATTACTAATTTAAAATACCATTGACATTTTCACAGTTTTTTAACTGTCGTTCATAGTTCAAAACTCGGAAGTTTATTAATTGTAACTTTTTTCTTCTAAATTGTACTGTTCACTAGAATGAGCTTATTCGAATCCTTTGTAGCTTTAAGTTGAACAAAAGTCAGACGGATAAATGTAATACCGCATAGTGTTTCATTATTAAGAGTCTTGTATAAAAAAAAATCTCTCTAGTTTTGTTTAATGGTAAGCCGCACATACAAACAAACACACCAAGAAGATAAAAATAAAGACGAGTTCTTTTGCTGAAGTTAACAGCAGTATTTCATAAAACTTAATCAACTTATTTTCAAAATGAATGATTTTTTTTTTACGTGAGCAATTTTGTTCACTCTACTAGGCCATAAATTGTTGTCTTTCAAATAAAATTCATGATGTTTAACGTTGGAAAAAATTATGAATGTTTTTAATATTTTTGTTTCTAATCGTGTTGATACTATAGACAAACAAAAACGCGATGAAAAGCATTTGTAAACGCAATATTTTTAAGGGTATTCTGTTTACAGGAAAAATAATGTTCAAAGTAACGTTTAATATAAATTAAAATGAAAACTAATATTTCTCGTAAACTATATTGAATAAAATTCTGTTTATATTAAATTCTCAATAAGAAATAGCGCACTCTATTCTTAATGTTTTTGTTACAATAGGAACATTAGACACATTGTATTAATAAAAAAGATCTCACCGATTTCTGTTCTTTCAAATATTATTAACAATATGTTAAATATGACAATCAGCTCGATATTTATCAATTTCACTTTTACTATTGCTCGCAACGCCCTCAAAATTCTGTATACTCACATCTCATTATCAATGTAAATAAAAAAAACGGTAAAAACATGTGTTTTACGTGATCATAGAAATCAAATTCAAAAGAAAGATAAGAAGACATTCACGTTAAATTGTGCGAACCGTTTATTCAATAAATCAGTTTTCAATATTTTGAATTGGGTAGGTCCTGCGCCAAAAGTAAACACACTTTTACAAAAGAATATTCACACCCCACACAATAAATTCATCTATTACACCGTTATGAATTATCGTCTTCATGACCCTCGAGACCTTGCTCTTTCTTTTATTAGGCCTATTTTACAATACTACTGATGACTTGAATAAAAAAAGTCTATATAGTTGAATCATTTATATAGTTGTATTTTATTTTTTATATAACATTTTTATTGAATAATTTTAAGCACCAGATTAAATTTTATAATTAAAATTTTGTTTGATTTCAAATAACGAATGTAAATGCTATAAGTTGTTAAATTAAAGTAGTGTTCAAAATTTAAATTAAAATTTAAATTATACAAATTTTATGAAGCCATAGAAATGTACAAAAATCAAGAAACCTTAGAAATGCTTAACATTTAAGAGAAGCCATAGAAATGTAAAAATGTATAGAAGCCATAGGAATGCTCAATACATTAAAGAAGCCATAAAAATGTACAAAATTTAAGAAACCTTAGAAATGCTTAACATTTTAGCGAAGCCATAGAAATGTACAAAAATCAAGAAACCTTAGAAATGCTTAACATTTAAGAGAAGCCATAGAAATGTAAAAATGTATAGAAGCCATAGGAATGCTCAATACATTAAAGAAGCCATAAAAATGTACAAAATTTAAGAAACCTTAGAAATGCTTAACATTTTAGCGAAGCCATAGAAATGTACAAAAATCAAGAAACCTTAGAAATGCTTAACATTTTAGCGAAGCCATAGAAATGTACAAAAATCAAGAAACCTTAGAAATGCTTAACATTTAAGAGAAGCCATAGAAATGTAAAAATGTATAGAAGCCATAGGAATGCTCAATACATTAAAGAAGCCATAAAAATGTACAAAATTTAAGAAACCTTAGAAATGCTTAACATTTTAGCGAAGCCATAGAAATGTACAAAAATCAAGAATCCTTAGAAATGCTAAATACTTTAATGAAGCCATAGAAATGTACAAATTTACAGAAGCCATAGAAAGGCTCAATATATTATAAAAGCCATAAAAATATACAAATTTTAAAAAAGCTATAAAATATTATAGAACTATAAAAATTTTCTGCATAACTAAAATTGAGGTTTTTTTTTAATTTTTGAAGTTTACATATTAACTAAATCGAAATTGGGCTCTTTATAGTATTGATTAGCAAAAGAATATGAAAGAGTAAGAAAGTAAGAATTTTGACGTGCAAAACAAAATAGAATCACATTATAGTAAATATAGTAAAATTTATTGATCCATACATTTACCAAAAAGTTATAGAATTATTAAGTTAAAAACATAAAACAGAATTATTTAACAACAATCGTATTTTTTTATTAATTTTTATGTCTATTTTCATCGTGAAGACAAAATAAAGTCCAAAATTTTTTTTTCCATAATAAAGTATATTACATTAGCTTTAATTTAAGATATATATAAAATTATCAGATCTTCCTGAACACTTTCAAAAGATAAATTGAAAAAGTTCTACTTTTTATATGCATTTTTCAGATTTGATCCCCTCCCAGTATATAGGGAAATAGTCTGATTTAAAAAAAAAGTAAGTCGAATGAAAGGTGTATATAAATACTACTTCTCATGAAAAAATTGTATTGATCCATACATTTTTTAAAAAGTTATATCATTTTAAAGTAAACAATGTAAAATATAAAATCGAGAATTTTCACACAAAAATAGCATT